GAAGAGGACTGAAGCAAGAAAGCAACTTATGAAGCATCCGTTTTTGGGTGGTTGCCTGGGTTTAAAAGCTTAGCATAAAAAACTTGTACATCTAGCTTCATGAGTTGTTATTAAGAGTTTTTTTGAAATGTATGCATAAAATGGCAGTACTTTGTGCTTTATGGTCTGTAATTAAGATATGAGTCTAAATGCTTATATATGTAGTATAGATATATATCATATGCATTTCACATTATGCATATAATTTCTATGCATAAAAATTCTCATACTAGTATAATCAAATATAACAGTTTATCATGCTGTCACATAATCATTTAACAAGCAATCACATATTAATTACCTCGAGTGATAACCAAAATCTGGTTATCACAGCAGTGCAACCACGATAGATGAAATGACGGTGTAACCGTGATAGATGAAATGATGATGTAACCGCGATAAATGTTTGATGATTTTATCATTAAAAATCAGGTTTAAACTGTATTAAAGTATTATAGCAAATTTTATTTTCAAGAAGGAATTTCACTCACTAGACCTTATGCGTTGTAATAATTTATTTTGCAAATCATCAATCATCAAAAGATAAAGGTAAAAGAAAGATGTGGTAGAATCATAGAAGAAAGTTTTTTGTCATGACAATATTTTTGTTAATTCAGACTTTTGGGTTATTTTATGTGAACAAACTTAAAATGCTTGTAAATATTGGACCTTGATGTATGCTATAACATGAGTTTTGTTCATTAGTACGTTTGTACGTGGTGGGTTGTTGCAACATATTACTGATAGATTTTTTCGTTGATGAATCCTCTTTGTTTTGTAATACTATATTACTCACAATTCACGAATCAAGAGGATGAGAGTATAAGAAATCACGATTTTGAGGGTTCAAAGTACGTAGACTATTGAACACTAGGTGTGAAAAAGTTTGATTTTGTTAATTGGTTTGAGTTTTTAAAACTTTTAAATAAAGATCTCGTTCCCGTATGTTTTTAGCCATTTTATCACAATTTATTTGTTTAGTTCTGAAGTTTTTCTTTAGAGTAAATTACATATTTGGTCCCTATGGTTATAACAAAATTATGACAGGTCCGCAAAAGAAATTAATTATAGATATCATCATTGTGGTTTCAATTTTGGTGCAGATCTGGTCCCTCAACCTAATTATGTTAAAGTTTGC